TTCCTCAGAACTCGTTCTACATGAAGATAAAAATTTGAGTTCTGAGGAAGGGTCACCGGACCCGAAACGTTAAGTCTGATCTTTTTTTCACAGATTTCCTGTAGCTAATTCACCTAACCTACACATCCCTGAATACTACGGGCAATTTAGCATGGCCAATCCACCCCAACCTGCACGTCTTTGGACTGTGGGAGGAAACCCACGCAGGGACGGGAGAACATGCAAACCCCATGCAGACTGTCACCTGAGGGTCGCTGGTGCTGTGAGGTGGCAGTGCTAACAACTGAGCCACCAGGCTGCCCAAGTTAGACAGATATTTGATTTACATGGGATTTGAGGGTTATAGGGACAGGCAGTAAAGTTCTTTTAAGTCTACGATCGAATCAGTATCATCTTATTAAATGGTGGAGCTGACCCGACAGGTCAAATTGCCTTACCTTTTCCTTATTATGACCTTAAGTTGGGTCAGAATGTGAGGGAAGAAGTAGAATATGTTGCTAGGGTTGGAAGAAGGGAGGTAAGAGGAGGAATGTAAACACCAGCAAGGATCTGTCAGACTGAATGCCTGTGTCTTTCTGTAAGTTCTACAGGAAAATAAAAATTAATTTAGCCCAGTGTTTCTTACCATCTTTGTAGGTGAATCAACTTCCAGCCTCGGGGTTTAGTGGATTTACTGAAGAAAAGAACATGTTTCTAGAGAAACTGGAAAATTTCAAGATTGCAAGCCAAAAGTTACAATACCTCTTGACGGAGCAATGGAATTCTGAGGTAGGAGAAACATTGTTGACACCCCCCAAAAAAAATCAGTAGAATGACTTAGGATAAAGTTACATCCTTGAAGTAGCAGAATAACAGGGGGTGAGATCGATTGTGAGTATGAAAAATAACACTGTGTTGAGCGCTTTTCAGACACAAGTGAAGTCCCACGATTGTTACATTCTGGGTAAGTCGCTAATTGCAGATTGAGAGTTTGACGATGAAGATACAATGGAAAGGTAACAAAAATCAACACACATCATGACAAAAACAGGGCAGGCTCTTCATCAGAAGTAGAGAAAATTCAAAGAGTGAATCAGGATTTAGTACTAGGCAAAATTGGTAAAACCCAAAGCCCATTTACCCAAGGTCTTATCAGTGGATGCATGCCCATTGTGTGGACGAACTGTTGGACCCTTGCAGGGCTAGGCTAGCTGTCCAGCTCCTCCCTGGGACCATTTCCCCGGCCTGGTGTCATTGCGGCGAGGACGAAGCCGAGAATGTCCGGTTCGGAGTCCGACAGGGGGATGTCATCCCCTACTCCTTCCTCCAAACCTCGCTGCTCCCAGCTGCCCAGAGTTGTGGTGTGGAGGAACCCTCTTGGTTCCTGACAGTGGGGGGCTGGGTTTCGCAGGGCCCCTCCTGACATCTGCCATTTTTGGGTGGGGGTGGGATGGTGAATGCTCCTGTCCTTCTCCCTGGTAGCCTTGATCCCTCCTTTTCCATTGGTGACCCTCCCTCGGTAAGTCCCCTTTCTCCGAGGAGCTGCTACTATGTCCACCGTGCAGCTGCCCCTTTCCGTTCTGTTACTGTGGGCCTTTGGGGGCCTGGCGAAGTTATGTTTTTCTCTTTCCCCTTGACTGTTTTCCACTCGCCCGACTCCTTTGTCACCTCCTCCTCCATTAACTCTGATTCCCATGTGGAGGTTGAGCCTGTTGTGCAGCCATGTTGGCTTCCTGCCTCCCCCTCTGCATCCCATTCCCTCCTTCTGCACGGCCCTCATTTTGTTTTTCCTGCTGGAGGGTGGTAACTTACTGTCCTTTGGTTGGGGGGAGGGGCGGGGGGCGTGGCTCGGCTCATGTTGTTACTGCTCACCATCCGAGTATATGTGGCCCCTCATCTTGGGCACACCTTATACAGGTGGTTCATTTCCCCACACAGATAGCAGCCCTTTGCCTGTCGGCAGACCTTGGTCAGGCACCCCTCCTCCTTACAGGGTCACCTTGCACTCCACCGCCATGTGCCCTGACCTCCTGCAGCTTTGACGGACCCTGGCCTACCCCGCATATGTCAGATAATCTCGGCTCCAACCAATCACAAAGCTGGACAGCGGTTGGAAGATGTTCCCATCAGCATATGCCCTCAGGATTAACTTGACCTTCCATTTGCTGGTCCATATCCCAAAGGAGCCCATCACATCATTGCTGCCACTGTCCACTTGCACATACCTTCCCAGGAAGGTCAGCTTATCTACTACTGCCACACAGCAGTTATACATATGGATGGTGACCATCTAACTCTTCTGTGCAGGTACAATGGCACTGCATTCAACACAGAGAAGGGACCCTCACCTCCTTTCTCCTCAAATACCTTCAGGAAATGCTCACGTTGTTTGACATTTCTGAAGGACATGTCAAAATGCCCATCACTGGGGAAAGCCTGCAGGCAATAGCTATCTACTACTTAAAACCCACAACCATTCAGTAGAATCCTTGCCCCTTCAGTGGGGAAGGTCCAATCGATCAGTATACTTTCTTCCACCTTCTTCACAGTCATCCTGACTGTGTTCCAGACCCCCTGGCCTGGGGCTCGGGTGCTTGCTGAGGCCATAGCACAAGGTTGGCTTTTCCCCACATTGGCATTAGGCCGAAGCCAACATAAAGATCCACCAATAGAGGATCAGCTCAACCGACAGTCCTCTAACGTCCAATCACGATCCAGCAATGATCTCAATGGCTCTGATGACTCACAAATTGACACTTGGTTTTAGCCAAAAGGCCGATTGCTGTAACACACCCTTCGATATAAGGAACCCTGGCCTGAGAAATATTGGAACGGAACAGAATTACCTCCTTCCAATACATTTCTGTAGATCGTGTAACCCGCTGTTTGTTTGCCATGTAAAACTTTTTCCCTTTATCTTTCTCCCTGTAGTCTTTCACCTATAGTGGTGGAATATTTTCAAGATGGATTTGTTGATAATTAAAAAAAACACATTGAATTCTCTTAAGTGTGCTAATTTAAGTCAGGCAGCCATTAAGAGCCTTGTAAGCAGTGGTTAACGGAACCTAGCAGGCATTTTCGAGTCAAACTTCGATTTCCTGAAATGGTGAGGGGCAGATTAACCGTCTGGAGCCCAGCACTTGGTGGAAGGCTGGGGGACAGTTTCACACAGCCTTATGAGGTCTGCCTGTTCAAGGATGGGTGTAACTAAAGGTTTCTCCGTGTCGGGAGAGTCTCCCAACAGTGATAGCTTTGCTGCTTTTGGTGTCGTATAATTTGTTTTCCAAAAAATGCAGCCGGTAAGTCACCTTCCTGTTGCAGTCCTCCCTCAGTTACTTACCTTGTATTGTAGCCATGTGCTTCTGTTAATCTGAAAGGTCCTCTGACTCACCCTTAATTTGCAAAAACCTACCCCTCATCCTTGGACAGGAAACCTATTTCCCTGCCAACTAGGGGTGCATTCCAGCCAAAAACTTAGTGAGTGAATGCTTCCAACCAGAGGCAGGTTTGGGAGCCAGGAACATTCCCAGCTCCTGTTTCCTGCCTCATTCCACTCCAGATGTTTCTCACACAACTTGCTACTTTTGGAATACAGTCATTATCATGTAGTCAAATGCAGTAGCCATTTTGCGGTAATAGATATTTACTGCTTTTGTTGTGCCAGTTGGGCATTCAGATGGATTCTATTTGAATAAATGCTGCCCTGTTTAATACTCAGTTTCATAACTCCGACTACCCTCAGCTAAAGTAGGCTGTCATAATTTTATTAAAAGGAAAGGTATTAATTTAGCAATATAATAAGATTTAATTTATTCCATTACCCAACCTATCGTCTGCACAATGTCTCACTACGATTCCTATCAGCTCTTACTAATAGTGCCCTATGGTATTTATAACTAATACCTAGGGTTAATTTCATGAGAGGAGGAATTGACTCAAATTCAGAAGAAGGGGGATAATTTATGACTGCAATGATTATTTGAATTGGACTTTCCAAAGTTATTGTGGATAAGATGTAAGGATAATGGAATTTTCGGCAGTTGCAGTTGCTATGTCTACTTCTTTGGGAATGTGAGGCCACATTCTGATCTAAGCTTATCGTTCTAGCCTTGTATGGATTGTACCAACAGACAAGTCAAAGTGTTGACACAGAAGCTGACAAGATGTGAAACTGAAAATATTGTAAGTATTTTACTTTCATCGTTCCTAAAAATAGATAAGTTGTTCTAAATTGCATTAAACACACAAAAATGGGTAATTTCGCAAGAATTACTGGTTTTCGCACTGTAGTAGTGTCTGACTTCAAAAAGAAATTGTTTTGCAGCATTTAAAAAGAAGACTGCAGGATGTTGAGAACAATGCTAAAGAAGCTTTGGAGCTATGTCAGATGGAAAAGGTACAAGGATATCGGAATTCTTCTTACTTAACCAGAATAAATTAATAATTGCTCATGGGGGTTAATTAATGCAAATTACACTTTATTTCCAGGTTAATTCTTGCTTTGTAAAGCAGCTGTCAAAGTCTGTTGAAGCAACCCAAGCTCGTCTACAAGGGCAGCTTAGAAACAAAGAAGTCAGAAACAACAGAATGTCAAGTCAGATCCTGGTAAGCTGTTCTTCAAAATATGGCAAATCTTGAATAAAATTGCAAGAAAATTACATGTTACAGAATACCATCCTCTCCAGAATTATTATTACAGTTGATGAGCACAGTAGATAATTTGAGACAGTTGAGGAAAATGACTGTCTATGACTTTTTCAACTTGAAAAACTCTGTAGATAACTCTATAGCCACTGATAGTCTCCATTAATAGTTATTCACCCTCCTAGCCAGATTGTTAGTCATCTGTGCAGCTGTTCTTTCTCGTTGGGCCCTATCCCCTCCTATCGTTTGTTCTTTACCCCCTCCCCCCACCCTATCTTCTGAGATAAAGTGACATTTTCCGAGCTACCATCGGTTCTGAGAAAGGGTCACCGGACCCGAAATGTTACCTCTGATTTCTCTCCACAGATGCTGCCAGACCTGCTGAGTTTATCCAGCAATTTCAGTTTTTGTTTTTGATTTACAGCATCCGCAGTTCTTTGGGGCTTTATTTATTTTCTATAGATAATAATTTAGTACATGAAATAAGATGATATGTATATATGATATGTATGTGATATCTCAATATGTGACCAATAAAAGTCTCATTCTTTCCCTGGAAATCTGATATTAAGCAAGTGGCATGACACAGCAAATGAACTTGGCACTCATCAGTCTACATAAGGAACTGATCTGTGTGCAATGGATTTGATAGCTCTTTAGGACATTTTTACCACATTTAAAGATGCTGTGTATATGCACGTTATTGATGTGAATAATTCTGCCTTTCAAGCACCACAACTTAATAACTCTTGAAAATGACAGCACCAAAATGCTGGAAATGATCAACAGGACACGCAGCATATGTGGAGAGAGAACAAGGATTAACGCTTTGGAGACAACGAGGTGCAGAGCTGGATGAACACAGCAGGCCAAGCAGCATCATAGGAGCAGAAAGGCTGACGTTTCGGGCCTAGACCCTTCATCAGAAATTTGTTCATAATTTGTTCAGTCTGGTTTTGTTGAGCCTTCTCAAAAATATTTAGGGATGGCTGATAAATTCTTGCCTTGTTGGCAATGCTTGCATCTTAGGAATGAAATTGAATGATAGTAATTAGTAATGGATTCAAGGTTTTCTGTAAAGCGGGCAGGAAAGTGAATTTGAGCCTGAGATCAGATCAGCTGATTGGATTAAATAGCAGAGCAGGCTTGAGGGACTGAATTATCCATTCCTGCTCCTATTTCTTATGCTGTTACGTTAAAAAAAAAGCACAGCTAATTCCAGCACCAGAGATAACAGTGTGGAGCTGG